CACCCTCATTACGAAGTTCTTTAATTCCTCCTCACTTTCTGCCATCAGAATGGTATCATCTGCATATCGGAGGTAGTTGATATTTCTTCCAGCAATCTTAATTCTGGTTTGGGTTTCATCCAGTTCTGCCTTTCACATGATATATTCTGCATATAAATTAAATAATCAGGGAGATATTATACAGCCTTGTCGTACTCCTTTCCAAAAATTTCCCAATTTTGAGCCAATCAGTTGTTCCATATCCAGTTCTAACTGTTGCTCACATATAGGTGGCAATGGCAAACCACAGTTGAAATTTCTTTACCCTGAAAACCCTATGATGGGACTGTCCAAAATGAAACAAGGGATAGTGCTGGAAGATGAGACTGTCGCAGTGGGAGCTCCACATTTTCTGGGATGACACCTCCCAGAAGGCTTGGCCGGCCTAGCCCATGGTCCATAGGCATCCTTCAGTCTCGAGAGACTATGGTAACATGCTCTGAATCGAGGAGTGTCCTCTCCAGAGCATGAAGCCTGGGTAAAGTAATGTGGAGGATAGGCTGTTACCCAAGCAGCAAATCCCCCCTCTCCATGTTGCTGAAATGGTCCAGTGGAAAGGCAAGAGCCAATACAACTGGTTCCAGCAACGTTGCTGCGATTCTTGAAGTTGTCACTTAACAATTTCCTGATAGGGATGAACATGATAGAAATCCCCGAGGGAGATTTTTTTTAAAAAAATGCATGCTTTAACACCAGGTATCAGTGTAGGAGGGCACGCCCTGTTGTTTTCTACTTCGTGTCACAAATTTGATTGGTAAAGGTTTTTTTTTTCTGTCTTTGTGGGTCAGACCGTTTTTCCTGTTCGTTTTCTGGCTCTTTTGCTTCCTTTGATTGGAGAAGCAAGCACGGAATCTTCCTCCTGGCTAGAAATTCTAATTTCCCCTTTTCCTTCTGATTGTAACAACAGCTGATACACTGTGAGTCAACTTAAACTTGTTTCTTCTTAAGATGCATAGATAAAACTTCCTTTCCGCTACAAAAAGGGCTTAGACGTCTCCAGAGGAAGGGTTGGTGCAACTGCGCTAAATCTTCCTTTCAGTGTCTCGTCGTCGTCGTCATCATCGTCGTCGTCATCATCTTAGAACTGCACAGTGTAATAATAATAACAACAACAACAACAACAACAACAACAACAACAACAACAACAACAATAATAATAATAATAATAATAATAATAATAATAAAGCTTTGTTTTTCTGCTTTGCACTCGGCTAACATGGGGCATAACTAAACTCCTAAAAGAAAACTTTTTTTAAAAAAACGGAAAGATCCCTGATAGAATTTTTTTTAAAAAAATCGGGCTTTGAAGCTGAATCATATTTTTCTGTCTCTCTCTAAAGTTGATCCAGTGAGGGGGTGGGTGGGAGAAGAGTGAAATTCCGGACAAGGAAAGGTTAAACTCGCAGAGGCTAGCTTGCTTCCTAGAGAGGCGCGCGCGCCCCCGCGGGTAGGGGGGGGTGTGTGAGCG